TTAATAAAATAAATAAATAAATAAATATTTCAGCCTTTGGGAAACATTATTGAATTTTAAGTGTTATTTATAATCATATAAAATCTAGAAGTTTTATGTTTTGCAATCATTGTATAATACTACAAACTGTTCATTTCTATTTTGGTTATATTTTCTTCCAAACGCTACAAAATATTATCATTAATTTTCTGAGATAGTAACATATATCAAATCATTTTAAGAATATAATATTAACTTGAGGGAGATTTATTTTAACATTTAACTTTCTTAACCTAAGACAGTCATAAGTCTTTTTAAGAGAAAGTAACTTTGAAAACATATCAAGTTTATTGTATTAAGGAACAATCATTAAGTTTCTAAACATATAAGTCCTAGTACTCTTATATACTATTTCCTTAAGGAAGTATTTTTACAGCATTGATACAATTGAAGATGCAGTTAAAATATAAATCACAATTATTCTTTTAATAATATATACATAATAATACATTTCTTAAAATTCATCATCATTCATTAATATTATTGAATGAATGCTTAAGACTCATGCATACAATTATAATGGCTTCATGACAATTTAATTTCATTTAGTAAGTTTATGATAATCTCATCACTATTATTAGAAATAAATATATTATTTACAGTAGAAAAATAGCTTTAAAAATATGGCATATTTTGCCTTTTGTATCGTAGTTACCCTAACATATGGGTTACTCAATTTGTAGACATGAGAATTAAATGATGTAGTAGGGATTGCACAGCTAAGAATTAGAGGATTTACCTGTTTGGATGAAGGCAAGGAGGTCTGATTGTCTAATTTTCTATAAAATCTAATACTTCTGGAAGTAGTACACTATAAAATAGCTTTTAAATATGTCTATGTATGCATTAGTATGACAGCAAATGACACTGGAAACAATTTTTAAGCTATATTGAAATCAAAGTCCTAAAACTTATCTAAACACTCACATATGAGGATATAAACCAACTCTTTTTAATATTTTAGCAAGAAATATATATAAATATAAATATATATAATAAATACATATATATGTATATTTTAGGTATACAATATAATGACATTCATCATTGGAAATTTGCACCTTTACATAGTCTCTTTTTGTTCTTATTTTTCACCTTTGCCGAGCCCTCCCTTCAACCCCTCCAGTCCTCCCTATTTACAAACATTTCCTTTTTTGAAAAAATGGTATTCAGTTCAACAACAAATTACATGCTTAATTAAATTCTTTACTTTATTTCTCCAAGTGTTAATTCCATGAGGTGGTAGTATTTGGAATGCTAAGAGCAAAATGGAAATATTTTACAGCAAAAGAGGCAAATATTTTTATGTAACATACCCTCCTGATTTGGGATTCTCTTTGGGTGAAAGTTATTTAACCTTACCTTAGCCAAATGAAGGCATTTTGTTTTGAAGAGATACCATGTAGCTATATTCTAAAGATAACTCACTTTCCTTTTCACATTTTTCTAGGATAAAATGTCCTCTTTGTTTCCACGTTGGCTAGGTTCAGTATACAAAAGTGAATATACCCTTGAATCACATATATTACTTTAAAAGTAGGATACATCCAAGGACGTCACAGTGACAATAACAATGATTAATGATGAATTAACAAAAAAGTATATTTTTACATATACTCATTATAGAAGTCTTCGCTTCTACTAACCTATTATATTTTCTTCCTGGGAACACAATCACACCCTATTTGAAGACTTTTAAAGTTAGGAAATGCTGTGTCCCTGCTCTCATCAGTGAGTCATACATAACTCTGCATGAGATCTATTTTTGTCTTTCCGGGTAGACTAGAGACAAATACTTGGAAGAACTGGAGATCAGAGACCACAGCTACCTCCTGACCAGAAATTTCTCTGAACTTTAGGTGGGTGACAAATAAAACTTTATATTGTTAAGTTGCTGAGATTTCAGTTGGTGCAGCCTTGGGAAATGAATAATGTCATAAATTGTTTACTTAAGAAGTAAAGATGCTGAGATTTATTTAAAGTTATTTAGTGGATTTCTCATGAATATACTGGTACTACGTAGGCTATTTGAGACTGAAGTATGAGGTTTTTTTTACTCTGGATTATCTATGTTCCATTTTTGGTTGTGTTGTCACATATGATTTTTGCATAGTACTTGCAAGTTCAATCCCTGGAGTCAGAGCAATTTGCATTTCCAAAACTTTTAATAGTTACTAGATATATGGACTCAGAATCATTTTGTAATCGTTGCTATTTTTTCATTTAAAGTATGGAAATAATAGAAGCTGATAGTTTCTTATGATTAATTGATTAGGTGAGGCCATGTGAATTAAAGGCTCACCATATATCTCATACATAACCATAAAATATGAGAAATTATTTGATGTTTGATTTGAAGCCTACCCAAAATACAAAATTTGCAATCCACATTCTCTCTCACTATTTACAAATTTTTATTGCTCATCTTTCCTCTTTTATGCTCAACTGTCTTTATATTTATTTTTTATTTTTGGTACTGGGGATCATACTCGGGTCCTTGCTCTTGTGCAGCAGGCAGTGAAACCACTGAGCTAAATCCCTAGCCCCTCAACTGTCTTTATTTATCTCAAGTTTTTTATATAAATCCAACTTTCAAATTCAGGTATGTAGAATTATGTTTTGAGTTGTTCTTACTTCTTATTAACAGTGAAAAATAAATATGAAATAAATATACTATACAGAATTGAAAACAAAATATTCTATGTTAAGGTATATAACATAGTAGGTAGTGAAATATATATTCTCATGCAAATTACAGGTTTTGATGGCCCTGGTAACAGTGACAAAATGACTTTAGGAAAAAGGTAGAGTTTTAAGTTCTGTCCTAAAATGGATTTGTTTCTGAAGGTAATATGAGGCTACAAACTACTAAATTTTCTAAGTGCTACTGTTAATCAGTTATATGGCTCTAGCCCATATTTTTGATGTTCACATGAAATGTACTAGAGAAAATAGAAAAGCAAGTAAATAAGGCATACAGAGTAGCCCCTGCTGGATGGAATGTTTTAGAACAATACTGTTGGGGTTTGAGAAAAATTGTAAAAGTGAAATTGTAGAGTTAGTTTTAAAGTTAGAATGAAAATTATTTTACATAGCCTAAGTAATGGAGAATTTTTAAGGTATGTCAGACCTTTTGTGTTTGGGGCACCAGGCTTGGCAAAGTCACCTAAATAAACTAGGATAAGCTATATGTTTGGCATCTGCAAATTACTTCATTTTTTTCTACCTAGTGATTTTAGATCTGGGAGATTACTGAGTGTATTCTCATTTTGTAATAGGTTTTTAGGATTTTTTTCCTACAGTTTTTTCTTTTCCCCAAAGGGATCTGGCCAAATTAAAAAGCACTGGTAAACAGGCATATCAGTACCTCTGACCTCACAGTGACCTACTCTCATTCTTCATCTCAGTGCTAAGGACTGTTAACAGTGTGTTATCTTTCTGTCTAGGTACTTTTGAAACAGGACTTAAGAAGAAAAGAATCAAGTTTCCCAACCTTAAGAAATATGGCTGTTTTTCTTTGTTCTAATACAGACAAAATCAGTGGCTTTGTCCCTATAAATAAAGTTTTATAATCTCCTGATCTCATAACATCCTGTTTTTGCCCAACCAAAGGCACTGGAATATGTTAAGTGGGGAAACTGTCACAGCTTGATAAACTACCTTTGTTCTGCCTACCCATTCTGAAGTTACATGCTACTAGGTAGATCAATTTCCTTGACAGCATGTATTAAACTGAAGTCCTTCCTTTGTTTGGGGCTCAACTTTGGATAGGAGTCTGATGAGATGGTGTACACCTAAATAAAATCCTCCTGTTTCACCTGTTGGTCTCTCTGGTCTCTTGAGTTCCCACAACATTTCCTGGCCACCATGACAAGACTGGAGACAATACTCTTGCTGTCTCCTTTGCCTGCAGAAACAGGGGCCCTGATATAGGGGAAGCTCAAGACCCCTGACATCACTGGGAAAGACTCAAGGTTGGAGAGAAAATTGGCCCTCCTACAGCCAAGATTCCTCCTATATCAGGGCAATGGAACCTGAGAGGCTACAGGATGATTCCGGAATAGCACACTACAGGATTGTGGTAAGGTTTTGGGGACCAGAAAAAGGAAAGACCTGTCCCATAAGGATGGAAGAAGAGGTTGCTCACCTCCCAGGGTGTACTAAGTGATCTGATTTGGATTTAGTCAGACAAAACTTACAACCCCAAGCTCAGAACACAGGAGGGGCCCACAGAGAGAGTGGCTTGCAACTGAGAATGTATGAGTGGCACACAGAAAAAGTGGCTCTCAACTGGGAATGTTGGAGTGACCTGCAAAGAGAATGCCCTACAAAAGGGGTGAGAGTTGCTCACAGTGAGATTGGCCTGCAAGAGACATAGGAATGGCCCATGGCTAGAGTGGTTCACAAGAGGTGTACCTAGGAGTCGATCCAGGCAAGTTCAGAGGAAACCTACACCCAAGTTGGAAAAAAAAATCCAAGAAACAAAAATGGGGAGAGCCACAGTGTACCAGATGTCTGAAAGAGATGAGATTGGAGATATGAGGAGATCTGCTTAGCTTTAGTATGCTGAGATATACAGGAAATGTGCTGCAGGCAGGCTGATGGAGGAGAAAGGCAACGTCCTGCAGGCTGTGAAATGGAGTGGTGGCAGTGAATAGCCTGGATGGTGATCAGGACTAGGAGGTGCCTGAGCAACCAGCTGGTCATTAGTTGCTGGGCTGTGCTGGGGCTGGTACATGGGGCTGAGAGATAAGCTCAACTGTACCTGCTGAGGTTGAAGGTATGAAGCAAGAGTCAATATTTCATTTCAGATAAAGTATGTCAGGGGACCATACAGAGGGAGGCAAGAGCCACACAGTCTTCCCCTGCCCTATGCCCACTCCAACCCATGCACAGACCCATCAGCTTTGCCTGCCTTGGCCCATGGCCAGGCACTCATTGTCTCCAGAGTTGATTGTCTAGGCCATGGACTTTGGCTGTTATGTGCCTGAGATACTGTATAGGACAGATGGGGAACAATGTACTGGGAGTGCTCAGGATCTGAGCATAGGGACTATTCACCAGCCAAAGCCCTTGGGCAGGTGGCTCTGGGCTGCATGCACCATGGGGTCAAGTGAAAAAGTGCAGGTCAGATCTAGGGTCTCTTTGCAACTCAGCGTCACTAGTCTGCCACTGCCTATAAGCATCTGGAAGCCAGAATAGCCCCAGCCTGGGATTGGATGACCAGAGTCAAGGACCTGTGGCTGCATCTTGCTGGGTTTGAGGATGTTTTGCAGGAGAATCAGAAGGGACCAAAGGGGGCTCAATTGCTCTTGTCCTTGAGTACAGTTACCTTGGGCAAGAAAAAATCAAGTTACAAATCTTAGCTAACTTACTTTTGGCTTCCGATTTAAGTTATTATTGTTTAATTAATATACTTAAAATATTTCTTGTACATTGTAAATTCTTAAACTATACTTAGATGGTTAACTTGCTCTTTTCTCTGTTCTCTGCTGGTTTAAAATAAGAACATTGATTCAAAGTTACTTAGAAGTCATTTGGCTGCCAGTCAAATTTAAAATGTAACAATCTGAGACCAAAGAAGAAAAAAAGAGAGGATGCTTTAAAATTCAAGTGGCTGGAGCCAAGTTTGTTTTTAAAAGCTTATAGTAAATGGGATGGAAAAATATATAAAGAAAGCTATAAGAGGTCCACTTTTGATATGGAAAGGTTTTGTAACGCAAACGTTTTGTCAGGCTGAAAAGATAAAGAGAGGACAAGGATGTAGCTCAGTGGCACCAAGCCTGCCTGGCAAGTGCAAAGTCTTTAGTTTGATCCCTGGTACAACACAAAAAAGACAGATAATGACAAAACTTGGAAGCTTATATACATTGAAAAAAAACTTGTGAAGTGATTTATCACAAAAAATATGTATGCTTGCTTTCTGGTTTGGTGGAGCCTGGGCTGTTCCCTCTAAAATCTCTTTGTTGTTCTAAAGGACTTGGGGGGCTGTGGCCCTGACTGTAGCCGTCAGTCCTTCCCATGTGTCATCTCTCCTGTCCATGTGAGCTGGTCTTTAACACCCAAGGAAAAATATATCCATCTGTTGGCTTTGATTAAATAAACATTTTGTTATTATATAAATGAGGCACACTTATATGGGGTAATAAGTCTATGTGTGGTCATTAACAATGTTTAAAACTTTGTGAAATTGATTAGCCTTCCTTTGATGTTAGATGACTGGCCAAGTTGATAATAAATAAGAAAACATTTGAGCATATATATTGGGTGGTGACTAGTGATTGAAGACAATCAGGGGATCCAGATCAATTTTCTTACATCAACTTGTGGCTGAACATGATCCAGACATGACCTGTGTGGCTACAGCCCTGCCTGGTGATACATTACAAAACACTCATGGCCTGAGTTGAGCCTAAAACAAAAGAGATTAAAAAAAAAATCTACCCTGATGGGGGCCATAGGGATGAAGGAAAACATTAACAGTGACATTGAGGAGTCCCTTGGCCAGCTGCACAAGACATCACAGGTGAGCTTAAGAGGCAAAAGGAGTGATAGAGGACACACTGAGACAGCAGTGGCAAGTGGAGGAAGAGATCCTTGCACTGAAGGTGAGCTTTGAGAAAGCTACTGCTGGCAAGACGAAGCTGAAGCTGGAGATAGATAGATGTCTGCAGTGCTGCAGACACATTGCATAACAAGGAGCAGGCAGAACTGGAGGCTGCTGGGCAGCAACAGTTGCTAGCAGAGGAAAAACAGGGGAGCCATGAGGCTGAAGAGTATTTATCAAAGAGTCTGACATCTGAGGAGGAAGCCACAAGGCAATGAAAAGATGCACTAGAAAAAGTAGTTACTCAAAACCAAGGAAAAAGAATCCAAATGTCTGCAGGAGCAAGCTGAAAAGGAGTCAGCTTGGCAGCTACAGCAGCCCAAAAGGCTGCCCCAAAGTGACTACAGAGAAAAAGAAAACATCTGAGCATGCTACAGCAGCTGCTTGTTGTGCATGGGTGGTGGGGATGATGGAAGCACAAGAGTGACAGAATCAAGAGGAGGCTAAGCACTTTCAAAGGCAGATGCAGCAGAAGAGCTTCTCAGGCTGAGGCTGAGAAACAGAAAACTGGAAACTGTATTCAGATAAATTACCAAAGCCACAAAAACGATGAGCCACATGGACTAACACATAAATTTCCCTGGTTGTGGGCCAAAGATAATGGACCTGGGCTGGCTGTAAATCAAACACCAGTGATAATGAAAATAACATTTAAAATAGCTCTTAGAACATGAAATCTTGGCTAGATTCCAGTCATCTTAGAACACCCCACTTTTGCCAATGCGTACCAGGCACTAATTAATATAGACCAGTATAAGACCTGTGTGCTATGAATCAGGCCACTAAAATCATCCACCCAATGGTACCAAATCCATATACATTGATGGGACTTATTCCAGCAAATTCTTCTTGATTTCCTTTGTTGGACTTAAAAGATATCTTTCTCTATCACTGCTTTGCAGCAGCTCATCTTCACATTTTAATGGAGGAGGATCCTATCATGGGCATAAAGAAGCAGCTCACCTAGACAAGGCTGCCAAGACTAGTTCCAAGTCTACTCCATTCTTTGGATTCCCAAGGAATCAAGAACTCTCCTACAATCTTTGGATAGGTGCTAGCTATGGACCTGAAGGCCTTCACTATAGCAAAGGACAATTGTACCTTGCTACAGTATGTACATGGCCTCCTTTTGGTAGCCCCAAGCCACGAGGACTGCTATCAAGCAACTAAAGACATCCTTCATCTACTTTGGAAGGCTAGATATACAGTGTCCAAGAAAAAGACACAAATTTACTGACAAGAAGTCAGATATTTAGGCTTCATAGTGACACAAGGGGAGCACCAACTGGATATTAAACAAAAACAGGCTCTCTGTGCCTTCTCAATTCTAACTACATGGCCCCAGATAAGACAGTTCTTGGGGCAACAGGATTCTATTGTAAATGGATCCCAAATTTTTCACTTGTGGCTGAATCCCTATATGAGGCTACCAAAGGGAGGGAAAAAGATCTCCTTCTCTGAAAGAGGATTTTCTTCAAGAAAGAGCATTTAAACAAATCAAAGAAGCCCTGATTCAGGCCCTTGCCTTAGGACTGTCAGATATAATCAAGTCTTTCTTCCTGTATGTCCATGAACAAAAGGAAATGACCATAAAAATCCTAACTCAGATCATGAGCCCTTGGTATCACCCAGTGACCCTAGAATGTCCTACATGTTTTAGGGCACTTACTGCTGCTACCCTGCTAATGCAGAAGGCTGACAAACTGACCTTGGGACAACTGAACATTCAAGAACCACACACAGTTATAACCTTAATGGACCAGAGAGGACACCATTGGTTGTCAAACCCTAGGATGACTCAATATAAGGGGCTCCTATGAGAAAATCCTTTCATAGCTCTAGAAACAATGGACACTCTTAATCCAGTCAACTTTGCTCCCAGTCAAATTGGGAGCCCCACTTCTTGACTGTGTGGAAACCATAGAAAAACTATTCTTGAGCCAGAGGGACCTCACAGGTTGCCCCCAGAGGAGACCCAGATGTTGAATACTTTACAGATGAGAGAAGCTTTGTGCTAGAAGGGGCTCAACAGGCAGGATATGCAATGGTGCCGGTGTACTCTGTGATAGTGCCTCAGCCTCTGACTACCAGAACCTCAGCCCAGAAGCCAGAGCTGATAGCCTTGACAAGAGCTGATAGCTTTTTTGCTAGCATAAGACGAAAAGGCTCACATGTATACTTGCTGATTATATGTAAGGAGAAAGGGTTCT